AGAGGGGCGGGGCGGCCCCGGGGCGGGGGAAGGGGCTTGTTGCACGTCGGGCAGGGAATTCACCAAGGGGGAGGGAAAGAAGGGGGAAGGAAATCGCCCCAGCCTTCCCAGATGCAGGTAAAGCCATCACTACCCAGGATACGGAATCCCGTGGCAATCAATTTAATTATTTCGCCTCTCTTTCCCCTTTCAACAAAATAGAAAAGGAAAAAAAAAAAAAAAAAAAGAAAAAAACCACACACATCGAGAAGAGAAATAAGGGAAGAAAAATAGACTGAAACAGACCTCCTCAATCCATGACTATTTAATGAAGCCAAATGATAGTTGTAGAGGTTAGGAACTGGCACAGTAATGACTAGCAAATACATCATACCCAAAAGCTCTGAAAGATTGAACAAGAGTCTCTTTCTCCAGAAAGGGAAGCTTACAGAGCCCATCAGCCCTGGGGAGAGGTTCCCTGCTCACTATCTGAGCTGTGGGGCACTCCAGCGCCGTAAAGCACACACACACACACACACACACACAGAAAACCGAAACGTTGCCTGCAAACCTCTCCCCTCCCTAGACACAGAAGCTACCCGTGCTCCGGATCGGTGCGAAGGGAGGGAAGGGGAGGGCGCAGCCCACTGGAAGCGAGGACCGTCGTTATTATTAGAAACCACCGGAGTAGGAAAAGCTGGAGAGTGCAGGCTCCATCCCAGTGTCCGCACTCGTGCAGCCGCCCCCTTCCCTCCCTCAGCCAGCAAAACGCACCGCCTGCTCCCGATGCAGCGGGCCCGGATCGTGCTGCCGCTCGCCCCCCGCCCCACCGCGAGGAGACGGAGAAGGGGGGAAGGGAGGAGTGGGAAAAGGGAGATTTTCCGTGCGTGCCTTTGCATGGGAGGCGGCTCCGCGCCGGCGAGGTTCCCTCTGGGCAGCCCCTGCGCCCTTGACATGACAGCGGCGATCTGCCTCCTCTCCTCCTCGCTCAGCTGGCTCAGGTCCGCCTCCACCCCGGCCGGCACCAGGCGCTGCAAGGGGGCCGCGGGGCCGCCGCCATCCCCGGCTGCCGCCGCCCCCTCGGGGGAGGCGCCCCG